ACTATTCCCTCTTGGCAATAAACCCGAATAAAATTCTTTTCAGGTGCGAGCTTCTGACAAGTTTCTCTTTCTTCGCAGTATATACTGTATATTCAAAGCACACAATCGCAACGTGCAATGCATCCCTTTTGTGCAAAGCATATTTCTCATAGCTGGAATGAATTTTAATGTTGGTATATAAAGAGGTGTTAAATGACACACCCAGTTTAGAGTCGGTCGCCGTTGCATTGCAGGAGCAAGAGCGAGGACAACTTCGTCGATGTGCTCTCTTCAGGCAAGTTTACGTTTCCTCTTTCTCTCTTGAGTGAATTCCTTTTGAACTAGTTGCTAACTTTTCCTTTAGTTTCCCTATCTTTTTAAGTCTAGCTAGCCTTTAAGCGGTTCGATATTGCCTTCACGCTGTGAAAGTTTGAAGGTCATAATAAACATTTATTCTTAGGTTACACCGAAGACTGAATCACGACAAGTAAAGCTGATCATAAAATACTAAGTTACTGAAGTTTTATACGTTTTATCGCCGTTCCTTTCCAAGCTCGACCATTTACAATTTCTCCCAAACGATGAAAGGGGAAAACTCTCAGCTCCTCGCTCGCAATTACTTTGAAAGAAAGAGAACATTAATTCATATTTGAAGAAAATTCCAGTCACTTTTCTCACCCTTGCTGGTAGTCGTTTATAAGTTTCATTCCACATGTTAAAGGAAGTTTACTATTAAGAGCAAAAGAGGTTCAGCAAAGCTACTGATCATACTTCACAACTATACTAAGTTAGTTAAAGTCTAATCGCTTTTATTTGTTGCTTGAGCCCTGGTATTGTTGTTGTTTTTCCACAAACCGCGAACAGAGGCAGCAAAGGTGAATCCAAAGGAACTGTACTGGAGCGTTATNGGAATGAATTTTAATGTTGGTATATAAAGAGGTGTTAAATGACACACCCAGTTTAGAGTCGGTCGCCGTTGCATTGCAGGAGCAGGAGCGAGGACATCTTCGTCGATGTGCTTTCTTCAGGCAAGTTTATGTTTCCTCTTTCTGTCTTGAGTGAATTCCTTTTGAACTAGTTGTTAACTTTTCCTTTAGTTTCCCTATCTTTTTAAGTTTAGCTAGCCTTTAAGCGGTTCGATATTGCCTTCACGCTGTGAAAGTTTTAAGGTCATAATAAACATTTATTCTTAGGTTACACCGAAGACTGGATCACGACAAGTAAAGCTGATCATAAAATACTAAGTTACTGAAGTTTTATACGTTTTATCGCCGTTCCTTTCCAAGCTCGACCATTTACAATTTCTCCCAAACGATGAAAGGGGAAAACTCTCAGCTCCTCGCTCGCAATTACTTTGAAAGAAAGAGAACATTAATTCATATTTGAAGAAAATTCCAGTCACTTTTCTCACCCTTGCTGGTAGTCGTTTATAAGTTTCATTCCACATGTTAAAGGAAGTTTACTATTAAGAGCAAAAGAGGTTCAGCAAAGCTACTGATCATACTTCACAACTATACTAAGTTAGTTAAAGTCTAATCGCTTTTATTTGTTGCTTGAGCCCTGGTATTGTTGTTGTTTTTCCACAAACCGCGAACAGAGGCAGC